TGGAACATGGTAATGTAAAGTTACACTCTGGGCGTTCATGGCCGTTAAATCATTAGGGTCAAAACCGATGATTGTCAACATACCTAAAATGTTGTTTTGCTTTAGCTTAAAATCTGTTTTATGAGCATCAATATGTTTCAAACCAACATATATTATTGTAATAAGAGTGATAATGTCTTCTTTTTTAAATTCAGATTACTGTGATCTTGTTAAATCTCGGTTAAAGCATGACGGTGTTGAGTATGCGGACTGGAGGAACTGGGTAGATTTTCTGGCTCTTGTCTGCAGCGTATTCAACCTCAACTCATATTAAACAGAACATAAATTGCGCACAACTAATAAGTGAAGTCACTGGTCCGCCTTTCATAGCTGAATCCACAGCCTTTAAATAAATGTTCCAGTCATGGTATTGAGTGTAACAGCCTGGAATAATGGCTTTTTTCATACCAGATGTTCTTCTTTACATCAGTCAACAAGCATCTGCAGTGTCTACTGAAAACACACAGATACAGGTAGAGGTCAATCAGTCATAGGTGCAACACACTGAACGCTCAATCCTCTTCTGGCAGCAGTAATCAATAGACGCCCTTGCTTAAGGTCACCTGGTCATGTGATGTCAGGCAGTCTGTAAATGGCATAAAAGAACTGCAGCAGCAACACTGACAGAGTGAAAGGAGAAAGATCACAGCAGCTGAATGTAGTTTCATTGACCACACGTTATAATCTTAACAAAGGCCTAAATTTAAATTTCCCCGTGGATTTCTTTGTGGCTTTTTGTAAAGCAGTATCTTAACAGTGAGCCACTGTCCCAAGTGGCGAAGACAGACGGATTGGTGCTGTATCGGCAGTAATGTGGATGCTGTACTGGAGTGTTGTGGCAAAGAGGAAGTTCTCGATTTAACTGTCAATCTATGTTCCAACCCTCACCTATGGTTATGAGCTTTGGGTTATTCCTGAAAAACTGGATCGTGGGTTCAAGCAGCCAAAATGAGTTTCCTTGAGAGAGTGGATGGACTTACCTTTACAGCCCTTTAGGACCAGGCATGAAAGAACAAATAATTTGTTGTTAATATCCCATCCTCTCTAATATTTTCTGCCATCTTGAACCTTTTTGCTGAAGTAGATTGGAGACTAGAGACACAGGACATTGAATTTGCCATCTTATTTCTCCTAACAATGCCACAATCCCATTGGACGCAGAATGTGCAGGTCAGAGTTGTTTAGTTGATTTTTTGCTGCCCAACCTGTTGGAAAATTGGTGTAGTGCGTGTTGCTATGACCCGTGCAGCTGCCTGACAGAGCACAATGGCCTTGCTCTGTGCAACTTAGATCTTGCACTTTTGATATATGTTTGTTAGAGATAAATTGATGAACTAGCCAGAAGGAGAGCAGAATATAACTGTTGCTGCCCCACATTAAAAGGTTTAAGATGAGCCAATTTAGATGGTTCAGGCATCTGTTTAGGATACCTCTAGGACGCCTCCTGGTGGAGATTACTCCAGATATGTCCAAGACCCCTGGGATGACCACGAGAGGGATTATATATCCTGTCTGGCCTGGGGCTGCCTCAGGCTCTCCTGGAGGATGTGGCTATACAGGCTGGTTTGCTTAGCTTGCTGCCACTGTGGCTCAGACATGATAAAGCAGCAGAAAATGCTCAGATGGAGTATCTTGACAAAGCAGAAGATAACAAATATGTTGGGCGTAATGGTTTGTGCAGTCATGAGAAGTAGAGTCATAGGGTGGTGACTGTTTTGGCTATTGGCTGTATTTTTGTTGCTGATTCAGAGCAGACAGGCTTGCTGTGTAAATGTAGTCAGCACAAACAATAAAATGAGTGTGGAGCTGGACCAATGCATTGACAGAAATAAATTTGCTGTCTTTAATAATAAACCCTTTTATTCAGGTGTAAAATAATACCAAAGTACATATCTTTCTGACTTTAAACATGTTTGTACACCAGCTGATACTCCATTAGCAGATTTTTTATCGTAATCAGGCCTATAGTCATAAGACTTTAAGGCTCTACTTTGTTGCTCACCAATCCTGTGAAAGGATTGTGATGTATGTTTTTGTATTTTGTCAGTCAAACAAACCCTCTTAAAGCTTTCTCTGACTTTCAATGCAAATGTCCTGTTTTTGTTCATTTGTCTACCACCTGCTCCTGTTCACGTACTTTAAAGATCTGCATTCAGAGCATACAGCGAGCTTCATGCAAGTGCAGCAAATTTCATAGTTGGAGTCAGTCAACTGTAAGAGAGGAGAGTATTACAACAAGTATAAAATGTGCCTCAAACCAATTTGAAAGGTTAATGGATTGGATGCTCACAAACACTGAAATACTAACAGAAAAACCCACATTGCATACATTAACATACATTTGAAGCATTTAGCAGAAGCTTTCATGGTGAGTGTCAGTGCAGCAGTGAAATAAGCTGCAGTCCCTGGATGTCATTCAGTACCTCAGCTTGAATAAATAGACAGCTTTAACCAGCAGCTCTTTCTGATTCTTCTTGTTTATAGGATGTCTGTACTTCTTTCACCATAACAGAAACATACCCGCTCTTCCAACTTCTGATGTATTTCTTAACCTTTGGCAGAAGGGAGCCCGGTGACAATGTAACTTGGAGCAGTTTTGCGGCGCGAATCGCCAACACCTCCGCTGGGATAAATAAGGACCATATATAATGGCTCTCAAAAATAGCATGACATAATTCACTATTGATTTGCTCTCCTGGCTGGCTGATCTTCATTTCGTGACACCGGAGTGCGGAGAACTCAGAGGCATTGGCATCGATCAGATTGCGCTGCTAAGGCAAAATTTCATTTTCGTAAATGTGGCAGCAGTGCTCTGTATTCCATACACTGACCTGTGTTGTTTTATAAGTCAAATATATTGATCCACTGCTGTATTTATTCCTAAAATATCAGACATTTCTTTCAGTACACAGCAGCTATTTGTACATGTTAATGTGATCTCTCGACATTGGATTAGAGGTCTGATTGCAGAGCTGATGGCATATAATCAATTATCTCTTGAATAACTCACCTTATGAACTTGTAAAGGTGTTTTAAGCACTTGTATCACCATAAAACACTGTAAGAACTACGTAGATGTAACTGAAAATAAATGAAGCAACCACTTTTTGTAAGTTTAGAGAGCTTCTTGGTATTTTGAGTTGGGAAAACTCATTAATATGCTGTAGCTGTATGACCACATATTGAGTATAGTCAACATGAAAAAGCCAAAAACAAAAGAAAAGTTTAACTAACTTTATTAAAGAGAACACATGAATTACATCTGACCTGATTAAACTGAGTTGCATCAAATATAAAGGCAGTTTTTAACATTTTTACCAGCTTTTCTCTTTGTGTGTATTGCTTCAAATCTACATTGAATAATTCTATACTTGTGTCTGGTCTAGAAAGTCGAGTGTGATTCCAGTTTGGACCGGTCTGCTTCTTGTTTTGACTGTGTTGGTCTATCAAATGTATAATTTTACTTTCATAAGTTTCAGCCTCATAAACTGGTCCACCCTGTGTGATCATTCCTCGTTTTTTATTTAACTACTTATTATTTTCCTCTAGAAAGGCGTGCACTGTTTTATTTTGAGTGGAATTTGATTTGTTTTGGTATGACTGGGGTATATGGCAATAAATTGAATTATGATATAAGAGTCTAGCAGCAAACAAAATAAATTGAGTCAATTTCTGTTGAGCATAAATATTCTCTTAAGTTTACAATATCCTTGTAATAGATTCAAAACCTTTCAAAAAATGAAAAAGAATTGCAAACAGAAAATCTATTTAAATAAATAAATTACATAAAAACCAAAAAATATATAATTTCTAAAAGTCTAAACGCCACAGAATGAATCTTTACAGCCACAGAGGTCTTTCTTCAGTCAGTTACATTACGTACATCAACGTAGTTCTTCAGAGCATCATCCTTCGGAAATGTAAATAAATAAAATCTTCCAGAGAAGATGCATTTGCGGGATGTTGACAGCATACTTTAGCTAGCTAGCAAAGTCTGTGGGAAATAACAAAACACGGTATCAAAACGGTTGTAATAACTCGAATATGAGAATTTAAAAAATCCTGAACCCAAAAAAGAGAAAAACAGTCAAACTCCACAGTTCAGTAGTACAAAGTCGGCAGTCTTTTATAATGTCTATAAAGAGATATAGAAGAATAACAGAATACACAGACTTTAACATGACAGTTAATTCAAAATATTCAACCCTGCATATTGTCACCAGCAGTATGTTTTATGTGCCTGCGCCAGAAAAGGAAGATATCCATATGTTCATACGCAGATGGGTCTAATTGCTGTTGCTTGAGACTTTAAATGCTTATACTCTGCCCCCTTGAAACTTTTGTAACTAATTTCTGTTGTGTTCTGTGCGACTTGGTTGTGTTTTCTCACTGCATTTGTTGTGAAGTTGGTGAAGATGTTTTCTTCATTTGCTTTTGGTTTTTCTTTTGTAAGTTGCAGTGCGATGAGCTCTCAGGATTACTGTGGAAATAACTATGTTGTCAAGCAGTGCAACTTGACAACATTATATCAAATATCATATTTCTTCTACAAGAAATGTTAAATCCGGGATCAGCGTTTACTCATTTATATTGCATAGACCTATCTTTTGATCTTCTTCAAACTCTTTGGCTTAAAATAAAATGTTCACTCATGCCTACACCAACATGTGCAACCTCACAAAACCCCTCTTCTAACTGCACTCAGATTTAACTATAACTGGCCTGCAGTTTTGTTTTGTTAGTATGTTTCCCATATCTCAACTTTCATAGTCTACTTCATATTTTGTATGTTGATACTGCATCTCATATCTTCAAATGAAAAAAATTAAAAAGAGGAATGATTCTCTGTAGTCTGAACATGTTCAACCACCTATTGTTTGCACATGAATAAAACATCTTTGTCCCTAAATGATGGATGGAGCCATATGATTCAAAACAAATCATCTATTTTCTCTCTGCAGATGTTGTTCCTGGAGCAGCACCCCTACCGCTGTCCCCTGTGCTCCGACTGGCACAACCGTTGGCATCCTTGATGACCCTTACGCTGCCAACACTGGCACCTGTGGCCTCACCGATAGTCCCGAGCACCACGGCAGCCACAGCCCCAGAGACTACCTCAGCTGCTGGAGGGGACGAGAGGCCGTCAGAGCTCGTCTCACCCTCAGAAACCCCAGACCCGGAGCCTGAGGCCGAACCTGAGGCGGAAACAGACGCGGAAACAGAGGAGGAGAAAGCTCGACGTCTTCTGTACTGCTCGCTGTGCAAAGTGGCGGTCAACTCGGCATCACAGCTGGAGGCTCACAACAGCGGTAAGGGACCTTTTAGGGAAGTATTTGTACAGAAGACGAAAAAGATGTTCCTAAGTGTGTTTTCTTAAAACACCATGGATTAAGCATGGTCATGCAAGTGCCACGAAAAAGACACACCAACAACAGTACTGAAATATATTTTTTTTAGCTGAATCGATTATTTCATTGTTTGTTATCTGCTGAGTTTCTGCGCAATCACCGATGATCAATGTTGAAGTCTTTGTCATCTTTGTTGTTGTCTGTCTTCAACAATAACTGTCAGGCCTAAAAAAAAACCAAATCTCTATGTGTTTGTTGGTGGTTTCCAGAGCAACCCATTATCCAATAAGATATTGTGAGACATCCCTGCTTTCGCAAACAAAGATTGTACTCTGAATTAATGTGTCAAACAAATACCACATTCACACACACACACACACACACACAGTGGGGATTTGACCGTTTGCTAAGTCATCAGAGGAATGTCCCACTGCTTTTGCCTGAAACTATCATTTTTGAACAAGAGAACAAATCAAATAAACTTCTATCAGCAGGGGGGCCCCATGGCAGATCTTCCACATCAGTCATCACTGCATCAGTGTTGCCTCAACGTTACAGATAGCCAGGTAGTGAAAGAGGCCCACGCTTGTTCCACAGAGTATGTGACCCTTTCATAACCAGCTGAACCATTGTTGTAAGGAATTCTTGATAAGTGGATGATCCTCTTTTCGTACAATGTCTCGGCACTATCCTTTCAGCTGTTGTAATAGCCAGAACATTCCTTTCAGTGAAGGAAAAGCCAACAAAGGATGTTTTCCAGGGTCTTGAAATTGCTTCTTTAGCAAAATATTACTCTACCAATCCTTAAGTTCTGGACATGTCTAAAGTATACAGTAAATTAGAGGAGAGCAGTTCCCTGAGAGGGAGCCAGAGGCCTACTTTGCCAAAAAAAATGAACAAACAAAAAAAACTTTAATTTGAATTTGCTAGCAGGCTTATGAATTGGTTATGGTGGTCTGAGTCAAACATTTTAAAATTTTGAATAATCCATTCACTCGTGAAAAACACAACTCAGGTAAAATGTGTAACTTTTGCATGAAAGAGTTTAACAGGGTTCTCAGCTTTGATCAGGGACTTTTAGGAAGATTTACAAGTCGACCTTTTCACACCGACCCTCATATTTCCAGACAGACGTGAACCTTGGATCTCATCTTTCCCTCAGGCAGAATGTGTAGGGTGAAGTTCATGTACTGACCACGCTGCTACCTGTTTGAACCTGCAGGCACGAAGCACAAGACGATGCTTGAGGCCAGGACTGGCGTGGGCTCCATCAAGTCTTTCCCCCGACCGGGAGTCAAAAGCAAACTGGCTACAACCACCAAATCATCAACGGGCCTGCAGAACAAAACGTTTTACTGTGAGACGTGTGACGTGCATGTCAACTCAGAGACGCAGCTAAAACAGGTGAGAGGGACAGAGAGAGACTTTGAAAACTCTCAAAAACTGATTAACTAAACATTTTGGACACGAAGCACGTTCAATGAAAGCTATTAAAAAATAAATGCAAGCAAAAGAGACAGTCATTGAAGAAAAGACATAGATACAGATGGACTGGAATATCAAATGTATAATTATGCTCTCATGGCATTGTACTGGATTTTACTGGGGTAAAGAGATTCATTATGTTGCAGTCCAAATATCAATGTACCAAAAAGGAATATATTACTACTATTCATCATTATCTGACAGTCTGACAGTTTTATTTCGTTAGCATTTATCCTTTGAAATCCTTGTCAACATTTTGCTAAATAAGCTTATTTATAAACACTGATACCCTCATATCTAAATTCACTTTGTCTGGCCAAGAAATGATATATTATACAGAAAAGTAACGTACACACTAAGGGTTGTAGTGAGTTGCTGATCACTGGAAAAAGATTTTAGAGTAGAAAAGGCATTTCTCTTTTTTTATCTGATGATTTCAGTTCTCCGACCTTCTTCAAGATCAACAATCATAGTACGACAAAGGTGCTGGTATCTTACAGAGGCCACACCCTAGTTATGGATGAGTAAAAACAATGAGCAACAATTAACAACAACAATCATTCTCTTATCTCTTGCCCTTGTGAGAAACCATATGTTCGAAAGACCAGCAGAGCACTGAAAACTCGTATTGTTGAACACAGAAGCACCATTAGATGTAAAAACAAGAATTATCCAGTAGCGGCACATTTTGTTGAACTCAATCACCCTGTTTCCTCTCTAAGATATATTGGGATTGAGAAGGTATCACTTTCCCCCTAAGAGGATGCAACGTGGAGGTTTTACTTTCCAGGAGGGAGCAGTATTGGATTCACCATCTTAGAGCCCTGTCACCTCATGGACTGAATACAGATTATGACTTAAGGTGTTTTCTGGAATAAACCTCTATTTCACTAGCAAGGACCACACCACAACACTATTTTATTTAAATGTTTAATGGAAACTCAGGGAGGTTTTGATGGTAACGATATGGAGGGGAGTAGGTGGAAGAAGATGTCTTCTGTTAGGGTGGTCTGGGAGGACGTGCTGAAGGCTGGGCAGAGGGAGACTGGGAGAGGTAGGAAACGAGTGAATAGGAAGGGAGGAGTGAAGAGACGATGAAGGGATGTGTGTATATATTAGAAATCTATTCAAAATTTATTTTTAACAATTGTATATGTAATTTAAATGAGACATGGTAATTTAGTTTGATGTAATTTGATTGGCTTTAGCCCCTGTTACTGTTAAACATTCAGATTTGCTGAAGGAGTTTTTTACTCACCCTCAAGGTGGAACGCGATCGTCCAATCATGATCAGATGTTTAACTTATATAAAACACCAGTGCCTTTCTCTTGCTAGGATTGTTGATCTTGAAGAAAGCGAGAGGGCCAAATTGTCATCAGCTAAATAAAAGAACGCATATGAGGCCAGAGTGTGCAGCGCTTTTTTTCTGACTCTGAGGAATTTGTCCAGCACATAAAACTCCTGCAGAAGTTCAAACTATTCCGTTAAAGTCACAGTGAGGCAGAAAATATGGCGAAGACAGGCTGACAGGCCTTTATGACGGTAAACATTTTGAGTTATTGTCGTAGGAAAATTACGGCTTCTTTCTGGCGAGCGGCAAAACCAAGACCCTGAAACCAAAGCAGCTAAATGACATTCAGCCAGCATTGATTGTATTATTTACACCGAGACTCCTGCTGTGACATGTCAAAATGTCTTCTGTGAAAAAGGTGCTGGAGAGGATCGTTGGCCTCCATCCCAACCTCGCCCACCTGTGTTGTTAAATCACGAGGAAGAGGAGGATATGGAAGAAACTCATAAATTAGAGCACAACCACGCTTTTGAAACCAAACAAACAATTTCCGGACAAATAAATACTTCACTGTTTACATGCACACCAGATTCTTACTAGGAGAAATTAAGGTTAAGACTGTAAAACACATGCACATGCAGTGACCTGGTTAAAACCTACATTTACCTGCAGCTGCTCAGTAATCAGATTCCTCCCACATCCCGAGCCATATTTTTAAAACAATGGTAGCATATTTGAAGCGTATTAGTGATTTATTTCCTCCTTTTTTTTAATGCTTTTTGATTGACGACACACTGAGGCTGACTATAGTGAGGAAGCACACAAATTACTGTGTGCATGTGTCTGAATGTTACAAATACTTTGCTGTCCATCTGTGAGAACCTAGACACTAATTTACTTCAGTGTCAGATTTTTTTGTTGTTGCTGCATTTAAGATTTTTTTGGAGGCTACAATGATGCACCGCTACTAGTAATGAAATTTCCTTTTTCATCCTGTCGTGCTGCTGTCACAGCAAAGTGTTCCCTGTCTGAAGCCACGCAATGCACTCTTGAAATCTGGTTAAGCATATGCGATACGTGGCCAAGAAATTAGGTTTCTGCTGCAGAAAGAAAGCCAACCGAGTTCCTCCTAATCCCCCTCCTCAAACAATGAAAAGGGTTTCTAGTTTATATGATGTTAAGGAAATTAGGTTACTAACGAAAGCTGACAATAATCTGATCTCTTTGTGATATTTTCCTGTGTGTGTATTGGCTGAAAGCTCTACCCAGGAATGTGTATCTTGGTTGTTGCTTTGGGGCACTCCACAAATCCTTTTTTCTTGTAGCTGCTGATCATTCTGTCATGGGGGGAATTTCATCTACAATACTTGAAAACCACTCAGTTTTGTCTGAGCTAACCTTGAGCTTTCTCACTGAAAATAGACAGGCTTTGTATGAATTTTTCATGCAGGGACTTTCACTGAGTACTTCTGAACAGCGGCGATTCTCTGTGAAAAGAATCCAGCATGACAAATTTCAGTTACGGCTGGAAACCAGAGGAATATGTGATTGTTAAACCTACTGCAAGGACTTGTGAAATTTAGACGCAGCAAAAGATCTGCCTTTTGTTGTCAAAGTGTGAATTATTTATTGGGATTTTTTTGCACAGTACAGTGTATTTTATGTATATTTCATTCCAGATTCTTACTTGTTTACTCAAATCCACTGGGGGTTTTTTTGGTCTTTTTAACATCAGAAAACCTTTTAAATAACTTAACAGGACATCCCGTGTTTAACATGGGAACATAATGTCTGATTTGGTAAATGCTTTCTGCACTGTACCTTGCAAGGCCAGAACTGTAGTCATTTTCACCATGGGTGGCTCGAAGGAATGAAACCTTTAAAGCTGTAATACTTTTCGCTTTGAGACAGGAGGTTTATTTTTAGTCCTGCCCTCCCCTTTTATGTTGGTCAGATTTCCACCTCAACACATGATAAGCTATCTACCCTGAAATGGCATCTACCCTGAGGCTGAGGTAACTGGCATCTATACAGCATCACTGTTGTAGTATATATAAAAAAAACAATGAGAATTTTCACAGTTTTTTCTCTGGAATGGCTCTTGTCCCGAGAAAGGTGCAGTAGTACATTTCATCAGATTGCCATGAAACCTTCCCCTTGAGCAGTTTATTTGTCTGACAAGCTATCATGAAAACCGAATCATTACATTTGCTGTCGGTATTCATAATCCCCCAGATAAATCCTATGGTTTTTGGTGACTCTGTGATCTATCCTCTGGCCCCCACTATCAGGCCACACAAGACTTTCTGAGAACATTGATGCTTCCTAGAAGAGAAACCGTTTTGATTTTAATGTATTTTGCTGACTGGTTCATACCGTTTTTCCACTGCTGGTGGGAGAGGTGTGAAATTTATGGTTCCCAGTAAGATTAGCTTTTGCATTATTTTTTCACTTTTGTGTGGTCGCCATGGTTACACAGGAAGCCTTGGCTATTTTGGGGGGGGGAGAAACAACTCAAGCCATCATAAAAGCTCCAAATAGCTGTACATTTTCAGTCCCTTAAGTCCCTGCCTATTTCTCCTTGACGCCGCCACCTACATTGAAGGCGCAGCTGTCGTCATGTTTCCATTGAAAACATCAGAGGCAGCGGTGATAGACGCTTGATGTCTAAAATAACCTTTACTTCCTTCCTTACATTTTTGTGACGTGAGTTTCCTGGCTTGCCTTGGTAGCCAAACAGTCAAACTAACCTCTGGCCACACCAACAACAAGTTAGTTAGTAAATATTATGAAGATTGGTAAAAATGTATTGTTTATTCATTATTATTTTTAATTTGAAAAAGCACATTTGGATTTTACAGCTTTAACCACCGTAGGGAAGACTCACTGAAACCTTCAGTGTGACTCATGATCGCTCTCTGAAGCTTGTCTTCTGTCCCCTTTCCAGCACATCAGCAGCCGGCGCCATAAAGACCGAGCAGCAGGTAAACCAGCCAAACCTAAATACAGCCCCTACAGCAAACCGCAGAAAGGCCAGACCAAGCAGCCGGTGAGTCACTGCATGCCTCAGTCATCTTATCAGCAACAAACGCCCTGGTGTCAAGACAACAATCACTGTGACTCAGTTCTAATAGCGTCTTAGGAGACAGACGTATCAACCCCTGAGAGACAGTTATTGTGTTCATTGTCATTCTCCTATTCCAGCCACTTCCTGTTTCTGCTGTTTGCAGAATCAAATAAAAAAAGCATAGGTCTTTGCCTAAACTCAATATGTGTCGTTCTTTCTTGAACTGTTTGCATGGGAGAGAATTTTGGACAAAACTGCATTCAGAATTTGGCTCTTGCCTATAAGCAAAAAATCCTTCTAAAGTGCTACGGTCTGTTCTTTGATAAGGCACATTCAATTCTCTTGACGGCACTCTATTCAATAAAATGTCAACTCTCATAACTGGTTCACCTGTTACCTGGCTTTTATTAAATATCCGTGGCAGCGAACAGCATGATTTAATTTGAAAACTTGATATTTTATAGACAAAAAATGGGATCTATCAGGTCTCTTCTGAGCCAGCGAGCTACAGGCAGAATGCAGGCTGGGGTTGAACACTATTTATTGGTAATTGTAAATGTCAGTTTTAACTTATTTGGAGTACCTCTGCGTGTGGTCTTCTGCATCAAGGCAGTTCAGATTAGTGTCAGGCATGTTGACAAACCACAGAATAAGTGAAGTGTACCGAAATAACTTTTAAAATACTTTCCTGAGGTGCTTGTTTAACTTTCTGGTACTCGCTGTCCTATGTGGCAAACCCCGGCCTTCTTGCACTCCAGGAGAGTTAAAACAAATATTAAAAGTTTTTTTTTGATTGCCACATGACGCAGGATTGTTAGGATGCTCAAAGGAGTCATGGGGATTAAATGTGAGAACGATAAAGGAGAGCCTGACTTTCCATTGTACAGAAAATCTCAGAAAACAGCATTCATCACACCCACTGTTTGCCGAGACGAAGCGCGGGGGTTACCAGTGTGGGGGAAATGACTTTTTCTGAAACCCATCATTGACTGAGTTAACGGAGAGGAGCTTTGATGAGCGGAGAGTAAAGAATGCTTCCCATAGGGTTACGATGCCTGAGTCAGTGATTGATAACCCATGACAACGACTGCCATCCCGGTGCTGTGAGACCGTAGCTTTTCCATTACTGATACAGAAGATTAAGCCAGATAACTTTAGTGACCTTTTCACCCTATTAGGCTGCTTTTTCGGAGGTTGGGCGTTTTTTGTTCGCTTATCTTGTTGTTGTTTTTTTCTTTCATTTTATTCTCTCTTTTTTTCTTTCAAAATAAAAAAACCTGCATAACGCCTACTCTCTCTGAAATTAATTCTTGAGATTTGCCATGAAAAAAAACAGCATTTGGCAGATATAAAAAATAAAAATAAAACAGAATTCAGTGATTCAATGTGCAAGTTTCATATTTCAGATAATGACGGCCCCCCAAAGAAACCAAAATCCCCAAATGCTTCATGTCCACACTGCAGGTAAATTGGTTTCAGGCACTGAACAATTACTCTGGGTTGACATATCTGTTGCTATTTCCCACATATGTTCTGGTGTCTTGCAGATCATCTGGAATAATTTCTGCAATTAGCAGCTGATTTCTGGCACCTGTTTGATTCCCTGTAAAGCTCTTTAGCCCCAGCTCTCTCTCTCTGTGCTCTGCACTCTGTTTCTTGTAAATGATCTAATTTACAAGTTAAATCCTGTTTGTGACACAACCATGTCGCCTCCAGGATTGGAAACAGGGAACATTCTATCAAACCAATAAACTCCATTGACAAAGAAGATTATAAAATGTCAGAAAGACGTAAAATCCCAGAGCACAGTGTGACGTCTTAAAAACTTCCTGTTTTGTCCGACCAACAGTCCAAAATACAGAGATATTTAATTTACAATGATTTAGAAAAGCAGAAAATCCTCATATTTGAGAAGCTACAAACAGGATTGTTTTGTGTTGTTTCTGAATAAATGGCTTCAGTGATTGCTTGATTATCAAAATTGATTAACTTTCAATTTAGCGCTAAAGATTAGGGTTTAGTATTGAGCTTGCGTCCATAGCACCAAATGTCTGGTTAGATTTGCAATCTTATTTACTTTAATCAGAGAGTCCGTAATTTAACACACACTTTTATTTTGGCAAATTTCCTTTGTAACAGCTTGTGTTTAGATGACATAACATTTGTGGCTTATTTTGTTAAATGAAAATGGGATTTATAGGAAATATATATATTTATATTTCTCAGAGTAACATTTTGGAGAAAGTATTGTTTGTTTTTGATTCAGATCAGGATCTTTTGATGTGTTTATGTGTACATACAGACTGTATTGAATGTATTTTTGTCTTTCCCTACCAGATAAAGTTGTCCCTGGTTAAAGACCGTCAGTGTCAGCCTCTGACTGCGCAGATCCTACCCGCTCATCTGGCGGCGGTGGCAGCAGCCGCGGCCGCCGCCATCAACAACAGTTTTACACACCGCACGAACCACGCCACTAACCACGCCCCGACCCCTACCCTCTTCCAGACACAGACCCTCCCCGCTGCACTGCTCCGCCCGGCCCCTGGGCCTGTCAGGACCTCCCACCCACAAGTCCTATTTGCCCCTTATTGACCTGTTTGACCTGGGCGGTCCTGCACCGCCTCCTGTCAAGGACCAAACCATGTGCTTCACCCAGAACAGGCCAAGGAGTCGTGTCAGCATCTGTACTCCTTTTTATGCATCCGGGATACTGAACATATTCATATTGTGATCAGACCTTTGACACGTCTCACAGCTCCTCATATGGATTATCCCACATTTTAAAGCTAAACCGGACTGCAGCGAAGTATTGGGCGCGTTCTCTCAATGGATTTATTTCTCTATTCCCACTGTAAACCTGGGCTACAGTAAAACAAGCTTTCTGTACCATGCTGTAGCCCATGACTCATACCCGGACCCCAGACTTGGACCTACATTTTACCGCAATAATGTATAAGACTAACCCCGTGAACTATGCAGTGTCATTATTTTGTGATGCAAGGCAAAGTTTGAGCTAAAAATACGGTAGGGATATGCTTTTTGTAAAGATACAGCGTGGCACTAAGATCATTGCTTTAGTGGAGGATTACTGTTGCTCATAATTTAAAAAGGCTGTTACTGATCATTAGAGTGAGCAAAGGCCCTGTTCCTGTATGCACTTTAAGCCCGTCCTCTGTTGATGTCTACATTAGATGGCTAGACTGTGTTAGATTGTTACAGTATGTGTCGTAATGTGTGTTTTTTGTATTTGTCCTTGCATATCTGTATGTGTGTGCAAGTGTGTACTTCTGCATGGGGGCGTGTGCTTGTCCATGTATGTACAGGGTGTGTGTATTTCGATGTGTGTGTATGTGTGTGTGTGCGTGTAAGAGAGAGGGAGAGAGAGAGCTTCCCATCCACCATAAGCCATCCTACTCGATATCCAGCACACATTGTCACTGACCATGTCTCGGGCCAGAGGGACCACAAAGGCTTGTGTATATTAACTGTCAGTGTGTAAAAGGTGAACAATTTCAAATAAAAAGAGTCCTACTTTGTTAATGCTGGTGATCCCATGTAGTTCAGTGGGTGCTATCACATGTCGTCATCGTGCTGTACAGTGCTTAAAGCGTATATTAAGAGTATAGTTATAATAATAAGAGAATAGTAATAATAAGAGCATTATGTTAACTGAAAACTACGAGCAGGATATGAAAGTGAATGACACTGGTGCATAATTTGGGTAGAAATATGTATCTGAACTGAAGGATTCACTCTCATACACAAGTGTTTGTATCAATATGTGTGTTTATAACAACACTCATCACAACATTGTGCTTCACTAATGCACATCACATTCATTATATAAAATCCAAACTCACAATTACAATTTCTAGTATAACTCAATTTCCGCTAATGATAAAATGATGCCTCTGAAGTTTGTATCATAACATGTTTGCGTTACAGAAGCTAATCTATAGTCCTGATGTAAATTTACCAGCTGGAAAATTATAATTCTATTCAATAATTATAATGTATTAATGAGAAAGCAGAGCAGATGTGTCCACAAGTGGTGTGAGATTTAATACGTATACGTAATAATAAACATTTTGGCGAACAGGCTGCTGTGATACTGAGCGACAGATGACCTCTTGGAATAACAACACAACAAATGTTGTCATTTTTAATACAGCAGTGGCTGAACAGCATAACATTTAGGCATTGTAAGACTATACAACAACTGTAGTATGTTCACTTTACTTCAAAGTTTTCTTATTATTCCATGAAAAAAAAAAAAAATCTATGCGTCTCTCAATACTTTCTGATTTAAAATAATATTGTAATAATAACAAAGGACAGTATATTCCAAGATAGAGACCCTTTTACATAAGTTAAAAAAGATTATGCTTCCTACAACTAACACACTGAAGGCACAGAGATTAGTGGGGGGAGAAAGTTCCCTCACATTTCCTTACCTTGTCCAAGCTCCAAGCCTCATCATTCCTACCGAAGGTGTAAATCTGGATGTCACAAATTCATAGTTTCCTTTTTTTAAATGTAAGTCATTTTCTAAAACAGCTGGGTACTGTGGTTGTGTAGCAAATGCTACGTGAACTTGTTTTCAGTCGTGGATTAATATGCATTTAGTGCTCTATTGAGTAATTACAGCAGCAGGACGGTGTGTGTGGGATTGAGTTAAAATAAATAACTGTGTGTGGTAGTGTGTGTGTGTGTGTGTGTGTGTGTGTGTGTGTGTGTGTGTTTATGATAATGGAAGATAGATGCCACCCAGAGCAACAGTGTGGCTCTATCGTTTAATAGTTTTTGGATAACAATGGGGAGGAATATGATGGCTACACAGATGATACTAGTTGGTTTAGGCCTTTTTAATGGGATTTGTTGACAATAAGTAAATATCATTAGCATTATCCTTCACTGACCCGGGTGTGTGGAATTTGTTTTCGACACATGGTACATGGTAATGAAGCTACATTCCCAGCAACATCAGACATAGGCAGACTTCAGTGTAGTGTGTTTGTGTATTTGGTTTTGTACAATAAGTCAAACAAAAGTCAGCTCTCTCCCTGTTTTGAACAAGACTTCTCTATCTTTGTTCTGTAAGTCAACATTGTGCACCACACTGATATGCCCACGACAAACAGAGCAAACACATCTACAACTCATTGACAATAAAGAACGCATTTTTCTGCAGCTACAAACTTCTATCGTAACACATTTGAGTCTATTGTGGTAAATACGAACAGTGGTTTTAATAAAAGACAGACAAACGTCAGCACATACATCAAAAAAATCACTGACGCATGCATGCACACGCACACACCGTAAATACATCCATGATGTCTGACATCTTAAAGGCCTGATGGCTGTCTTCCATTCAGGAAATAACATCACTGACAAAAGCCGGTCTGAGCGGCTTAACTCATGACATTTTGGAGAGACCCCAATTCAGCACAACACAATAACTCATAAGGTACATATTAAACTCAGTTGTTCAGTCTGTGAACTTTTCCATGAACCTGAAAGCTGATTCATCCATTGCTCGTTTGTTGCACACCTACCCTCTAACTCCCTGACGCATGAGCACTGGCCATCCAGCCAGATGAGGGAGCTTCTTTCCACCGAAACTCCTGCTCACTGTCCAAAACCAATACAGCAGGTCGCCTGAGGACCAGGCCCGCTGCTCTGGGAGTTGAATCTCTGGCCACCATCTCTCTTCCATTTAATCTCACTGGAGCGATGATCACAAACATCTGTAAGTGGGATGCGGAGCCTCTCTATCTGCTGTTCAGGAGAGCTATCAGCAGAAAAACACTGCCTAACTCCTCCATCAGCGAGAAAAATGCTGTGAACAGCTGGCTGTCCAACCGAGCAGGCGCTGGAATGTGGATCACGCCTGAGTGTGACTCAGAGAAGAGAAAATCTCAGCTTTTCTTTGATGACCAGACTGAATCAAGCGAACCTCAGCTGAAGCATGTTTCAATACAATGATAATGATAAAAAAAACAAAGTGTTTGTCATCCAGCAATTTTAAAAATGCAATAACCGATCAGTAAATGTATAACGTGGACTCTCAAACGTATACACACTTTATTCACATCCATGATCATGTTGATAACCTCAATACAATGCTAGTCAGCCAGTATTTTATTTATTTATTTGTTTTTAATATATATAATGTAAAGCAATAGTAAACTCATTATAAATACCACGCAACTAAGAAGAAAAGTTTGGGACTAATAGCTTGGTAGACCAATTAACAGTTCCTTCACTGATTTAGCAAGGTTTTACCAGAAGAATGAAAGACTTAATATCTGAATGAATCTTTTATCTTGTCTTTAAACTCACCTGTTTTAGCTTTATATCCGTAGCTAGAAACATTCTTGTTTGTTTGCTTGTTTTTTTCTCAATGGATTTACAATCTTAATGCCAAAAATATTTACCAAAATGCTAAATGATCGTAAATCATTGGTCCCAGATCTATGAATTAGCTGGATTTTATATGTTCAATTTACTATAATTTGTTTAATTATGTTTTATTCTTTTTATAGTTAAAGTATCCATTCAATAACTGACAACTTTCTCATAATAAAAAAGGGGGAAAAGCTAAATGCTAATATTAGTCATTTAAACACATTGTGGATAGAATCAGTTAATAAAATAACCAACATATGTAAGAATGTAAACTCTAATATGGAAGACATGACCTCAGCGTCATTTGTACTTACACGACTGCAGCCCACACCTCCGATAATTACAGCGATTCAAACAGGTCTATTGTGCTCATTGATGGCTGGTTTTCCAGTTGTAAAAACAACTGAGCCGATTGTTTGTGGGGACGTCATCGTCCTGTGTCACAGCCAGAACTATGGCAGAACCATTGCCACAAAAATAACAACAAGCCCGTTGTAACTAGCGGAAACGACTTTTCAAATGTCATATTTCTCTGCTGTAGTGTCAACTGAAGACGGTTTGAAATCTGATTGGTCAGCGAACAACAACACAGCCCCTCCCAAACAGAACTTGATGTCAGTCTGAATGATGATGTGCAATTAAATGGCAATTTAGTCTGATTATAAGGCTAAAATTATAAGGTTCTCACAACCGTGACTGGCAGTAAGTTCAAATAAATATAATTCTCACTTCTTAAATGGCAGCTGTGATGCCGGTATTATATTATTATATTAGAGTGAGTGTGCCAGTCAAGATGTGCTGGAAACAGCAGGAGGAGAAGAAAAGCATCATTATTATAACATATTTATAGAACTGGGGAAAACTGAACTGGTGCAAAATAATCTTTTTCATTTCATTAGTTTTTAATGGGCAAAACCTGTATCCCATTATCATCAGCCCTGATGAAGCTGTAAGCAAAACACACAGCTCATTATGATCCTAAAATGTTAAAAAGGATTCTTTGTCTGTTGTCCTGGTCTTGAGTCATAATTATGTGACATTTCCAGCTCCTGTGATCAGAAAAGTTTAGTCCTTGTACATTTGACATTTCCTTACACACAGTGACGTACAAAGAGAAGAGTGGAACAATGGAATAAAAAGCGTCACATTGTCAGCGTATTATCTGCTCAGTTGTGAGTGAATCACAACAAGTACTGTTCAAACCGATAAGAAATAATAACTACACACAGTCTGACAATGTAGATTTACGACTTTTAGCGGAGTTACAAGCCCTGAACTGAACTTACAAGCCCACAGTAACATTAAAGAGCATGTAGACATCTGTTTTTGAAATACTTGGCAGCGGATAACTTTTTAAAATTTCCAATGGGATATACAACATTTACACATAAAACTTAGTGAGTTACACAGAATTACAGAAAATGGTATTAATAGCAGTGAGCTTTAAAATAAAACATTTGCTATAGATTCACCTCCATGTGGTCTTCATTCCTGCAACCCTTCCTTGATCATTTCACTGTATAGGGAGATGATTAATATACAAGCTACCTGCTTAGCACAGTTGGACTTTGTGTGTGTGTGTGTTTTGGCCGAATTCCTCTGTCACTCCATGCTCCTCCGTCACTGTAACAGAAGTTCATTGTGTTTCATTAGTTGTATTGAGTTGTTTTTCATTTTTCATTTACAGCCGGTCGAGAAGAGAAACCCCTAAAGGCCACAGCACTCAGGCAGGATGTTGTAACAGATACTCAACATGAGCAGCGCTGACAATGCCCTCAGGAGTCCTGGCAGGGCCGGGGCAGGTCCAGGCAGCCCGTTTCCACGTCCGTGTAAAAGCTTTGATTCAACATCACGATAAATGCCGCAATTAACATTCCAGTCCATTAAGGCTTTGACATTTTTACTTCATTCGGACGTTCACGGTTTACAAAAGGCCTCGCTCGCGGGCAGCGATCTTTTTGAAACACGGCCCCGCTTGTGAATTTGACAGAACACCTGCATTAAAAGCGTCCTGTGTGTTTTTACAGAGTGCTTTTAGGCTCCAGTCATGAAAGATAAAGATTTAACGAGAGGAGAGGTTTGCAGAGGAGTCACTTAAAGGTTTGCTCATCGGTTGCTCTCAGAACAAC